TGCTCCTGGCGAGCGGCTCCGTTTGGGGGGGGTCCCTGGGGGTGGGAGGGGGGGTTTGGGGGGGCCCCTGGGGGGGGGCAATACAGGACCTGCTGCCAGCGCTGCCTCCGCCTCCTTTTTTTGGGGGGAAATTCGGGGATTTTGGGGTTCCTGGGGGACTCAAAAGCTGAAAAATTTGGGGGGGGTTTAATATAAAAAGGGGGGGGGCTTTGTATGGTTCTTGTATAATTTGGGGGGGATTCAGGGGTCCTTAAATAATTTGGGGGGGTCCTTGGGGACCTTAAATAATTTGGGGGGGATATAATTTGAGGGGGGGTCTGTGGGGCTCCTATGTAATTTTGGGGGGGTCCTTAGGGTTCCTAAATAATTTGGTGGGGCTGATATAATTTGGGGTGGGGTCTTCGGGTTCCTTAAATAATTTGTGAGGGGAGGTCCTTGGGGTCCCTAAATAATTTGGGAGAGGGTCCCCTTGGAGCCCCTATAGAATTGTTAGGGGGGGGTCTATGGGACCTTAAATAATTTGGGGTGGGGTCCTTGGGGTCCCTAAATAATTTGGGAGGGGTCCTTGGGGTCCCTAAATAATTTGGGGGGGTTGATGGACCCGTGTATAATTTGGGGGGGGGGTCCCCACAGAGGCCCCGTATAGGTGGTTAAGAAACGCCCACTTTATACGAAACCACGCCCCTTAGGGCGGAGAATAAGCACGGCAGTACGAGGCCACGCCCCAAAGTGAGACCACGCCTCCAAACAAAACCAACGCCCTCTGGCCCCACATCTCCCCAGTGGCGGGCGCGGCCAATCAGCGCCCGGCAGAGAAGCGGGCGGGCCTCGTTCCTATTGGCCGACCTTGAGCCGCCGCGCTCCTATTGGCCGCGGGGGCGGCGTGGGGGCGGGGCGAGGCGCGGCGCGCGGCGGCGGCGGTCGCGGGAGCGGCCCGGGAGCGAAAGCAGCGCGGGAGCGGCTGAGGTGAGCGGGGCCGGGAGCGCGCCGGGGTTGGGGCTTCACCGGGATCCGCGACCGGGGGACAGCCGGGACCGCTCGGCGCGGGGCCGGAGAGAGCGGGGGAACCGCGGGGGATTCGCGGGGAGGCGTGGGCGGTGTCGCTGTCGCCGTTCTCCGTTCGGGCCTTGCCGGGCCGCGCTCACCGCCACCCTTCCCTCACGCTCTCCCTCCCCACAGGGGCGCTGTTGCCATGGAGACGAGCGCGCACCCCTATTGGCCGCGCGCGCTGGCGTTGCCGGGGTTACGTGGCGGGCGCGGCGGCCCCGGCTGGCAGTGCGCAGGCGCGGTGGCGGCGGCGGCGGCGGCGCTGTTCGCGCTGGGCTGGGCCCTGGGCGGGACCGGGGGCGGAGACAAGGGCGGGGCGAAGGGCGTAGCCAAGCGAAGCCCCGCCCGCCGGCTGGTCCTGGGCTGGTTCCTGGTGTGCGCCGGCATCCATGGGGTCCTGGAAGGATATTTCAGCCTCCGGCACCGGGAGCTGCCCGCCGACACCGGGCTGCTGGCCGACGTCTGTGAGCACCCGCGGGGGGCGCTGGGCTGGGCGGGGGGCGCTGGGGAGGGGTCTCGAGGGGAGCCCGGGGCACTGGGCACGTGGGGAGGGGTTCATGGGGCATCTGGGAGGGTCCCTGGGGCATCTGAGGGGTCTCTGGGTCATTTGTGGGGTTTCTGGGTACATGGGGAGGGGTCCCAAGGGCATCAGGGGGCACTGGAGGGGCACTGTGCACATGGGGAGGTGTCGCTGGGGCATCTATGGGGTCCCTGGGGCATTTGGGGGATCCCTGGATATGTGGGGAGGGGTCCCTGGGGTATCTGGGGGTCTCTGGGCAGGTGGGCAGGGGCACAGCCGGGTGCTGGGGGTCTCCTGTCCCCCCACTAACCCGAAGCCCCCTCCCCAAATTTCAGGGAAGGAATACGCCAAGGCCGACAGCCGCTACATGACGTGAGTTGGGGACATTGGGGACACCAAGGAGGGGGTGGCCGTGTCCCCGGTGTCCCCAGCTGACCCTCCCCCTCCCGCAGGAGCGATGACTTCACGGTTGCCATGGAGACGGGTGACAGCCTGGGCCTGGGGTCCTCTGAGCTTCCTCACCTTCCTCGCCCTCCTGCGGCAGCACCCGGCCCGCTACATCCTGCAGCTCGTGGTGTCCCTGGGTATGGCAACCTGTGTCACCTGTGTCACCTCCCCAGTGTCACCAATGTCACCTGTGTCACCATCCCTGTGTCACCTCCCCAGTGTCCCTGTGTCACCAGTGTCCCTGTGTTACCTGTGTCATCTCCCAGTGTCTCTTGAGTCACCCTCCCTGTGTCACCTGTGTCACCTCCCCAGTGTCCCTGTCACCATGTCACCTGTGTCAGCTCTGTCACCATCCCAGTGTCACCTGTGTCACCTCCCCAGTGTCACCAATGTCACCATCCCAGTGTCCCTGTGTCATCTCTGTCACCATCCCCCAGGCCTGTCCCTGTTCCCAGGCTGTCCCCATGTCCCTGTTGCTGTCCCTGACCCCTCTCCCTGTCCCCATGCTGTCCCTGACCCCTGTCCCTGTTCCCTGTGTCCCCAGGGCAACTATATGGTGACATCCTGTACTTTGCCCCGGCTGTCCCCCGACCCTGTCCCTTGTCCCCAAGCTGTCTCTAACCCCTCTCTGTGTCCCTGTGCCCAGGCCAGCTGTACGGTGACATCCTGTACTTTGCCCTGGCTGTCCCCAGGCTGTCCCCATGTCCCTAACCCTGTCCCTGTCTGTGTCCCAGGCCAGCTGTACGGTGACATCCTGTACTGTCCTGTCCCTAATTGTGTCCCTGTCCCTCTGTCCCCAGGCCAGCTGTACGGTGACATCCTGTACTGTCCCTAATCCTGTCCCTAACCCTGTCCCTGTGTCCCCAGGCCAGCTGTACGGTGACATCCTGTACTGTCCCTGTCCCTAATTGTGTCCCTGTCTGTCCCTCTGTCCCCAGGCCAGCTGCACGGTGACATCCTGTACTGTCCCTGTCCCTAATTGTGTCCCTGTCTGTCCCTCTGTCCCCAGGCCAGCTGTACGGTGACATCCTGTACTTCGCCACGGAGGCCGGGGCGGGCTGGGCTCACAGCGACCCCCACCCCCTTTTATTTCTGGGGTTACTTCGTGGGGCTCAACGGGCTCTGGGTGCTCGTGCCCGCCCCTGCTGATGCTGGATGCCAGCCGGGAGCTGGCGCGGGCACAGCGCGGGCACGACCGGCCCCGGCACAAGGCTCACTGAGGGGGGGGCGGGGAGAGACCCCCGGGGCCCCCCCATGGGCTGAGAGAGCCCCCCATGGACCCCCTGGGCTGAGGGACCCCCCGAGAGACCTCCAGGTGTGAGGGACGCCCCCTCACGGCCTGAGACCCCCCCCCCCCAAGCCCAAGGGACACCCCCCCCCCCCCCCCACAAGGGAGGGTTCAGCACTGAGAGGGTCCTGGAGGGGAATTTTAGGACTCCCCCCCCCAACCTCAGAGACCCCCCCCCCAAGTGAGGGTTCAGGTCCTGGAGGGGAATTTGGGCACCCCTCCCAAAAGCTCAGGGAGAGCAGCTGGAGCCCCCCCCCCCCATGTTTCCCATGGGGGTCACAGCCTCGTTTTTGGGCGTCCCCCTGTCCTTTTTGGGGATCAACTTCTCGATTTTGGAGTCTCAGCCTCATTTTTGGGGGTTCCCCCTCATTTTTGGGGGCGTGCTGTGGGAATGTCCCTCGTTCCTGGGGGGCAGGGATGGATTTTAATAAAGGAGCTGGAAATGGAGCTCAGGTCTGGTTTTGGGGGGTCCTGGGGGGGTTTTGGAGGGTCCTGGGGAGTCTTAGGGAGATCCTGTGGAATTTTGGAGGGTCCTAATGGGTTTTGGAGGGGTCATGGTGGGTTTCTAGCGGGTCTCGACAGTGTTTGGGGGGTTTCTGGGGGATTTTGGGGGATCCTTTTGGGTTTTGGGGAGGTCGTGGTGGTGTTGGGGGATCATGGAGGGTTTTGGGAGGGTCCAGCAGAAGTTTGGGGGGATCCTGGTGGGTTTTGGAGGGTCCTGAGAGGATCTGGGGAGTCCTGAGGGGTTTTGAGGGTTCCTGGAGAGTTTTTGGGGGGTCCTGAGGGGTTTTTGGGGGGGTTGGAGCACGCGGGAGGGCGGGAAGGGGCGGGTTTACCGAAGATTGACAGGTGGTGGGTGGGGTTACGGCAGGGGCGGTGCTCCTCTCCTCGGATCCGCCCCTGACGCGCCTGAGCCAATAGGAAATTAGGTCGCTTGCTGCAGCCAATAGGAAGGCGATGTGGGCGGGGTTATGACTCGAACCAATCAACGCTCGGCGTCTCCTCGCTGCTCCCTCCTACTAATGATTGACGTGCCACCACCCAATCAACGCTCACGTTTACCCAAACCGCTCCTTCCCCCTCTGCTTAACCGACACCTCCACCAACCAATCACCGCTCCCGTTCCTCCCCCAAACCCAACCAATCACCTCTCTCCCTCCCCGTCTCATCCAATCCCCTCTCTCCCCCTCCATCACCATAGCAACACCCATCCCGCCTCCCCCTCACCGAGGCGCAGAGACGAAAGGCGGGACTTCCTCCGCTCTCTCAGCCAATCACAGCTCTCCCCTACCTCCGCCAGCCAATGGCGCGGCGCGGCGCGGGCGAGGCGGAAGCGCGCGCGGGGTCGGAGGTCGCGGCTGTTGATGTTGACACGGCCCCGGCGGCCGCAGCGCCCCGCGGCCCCTCAGCGCCGGGGGCGCCCCCGAGCCCCGCGGCGCCCCCCGAGCCCCGCGCCGCGCCCGCGCCCCATGCGCGCCCCGCCATGACCATCCTCCCCAAGAAAAAGCCGGTCCCGGCTCCCGACGGTGATGGCGATTCCGGCCCTGACGCGGGGCCCGAGCGCGGAGCGGACGCGGGGCCCGAGCGAGGCCCCGGAGGCGTCGGCGAACCCGGCGGGCCCGGCGTGGGGGGGCCGCGGCCTCGCGCCTCTCCGCCGCCGCCGCTGCGGGGCTGGGCCGGGCTGCCCGGAGCCGCCGGTTCTCCTCCTCCCGCCGGGCCCGGCTCCGGTAGCGGCGGGCCCGGTTCCGCCGACGGCCCCGCGGCGCTGCTGGGGCTGGAGGCGGCGGCGCTGGGCTGCCCGAGCCCCGCGGGCCCGGCTGCGGCGCGGAGCCGGGGGAGGCCCCGGGCACAGCAAGCGGCGGCGGCGAGGAGGGGCCGGGCCCAGCGCGGGCCCCGCGGGCTCCGGCCCCGGCGGGATCGGGCTCGGGATGGGGCTGGGACCCCCCGGCTGCGGCAGCCCCGGGCCCGACGAGGCGGGAGGCGGCTACAACAGCGAGGATGAGTACGAGGCGGGAAGGGTGGAGATGGACCCGGCCACCGCCGAGCAGGTGCGGGGACAAACGGGGGGACAGCGAGGGGGCATCTGGGGACACCGGGGGGACACCGGGGACAGTGTGGGGACATCAGGGGACACCAGTGGGACAAAATGGGCACCGGGGGTGACACTGAGAGACAGCGAGGGACATCAGGGGACTCTGGGGGGTTAGGGGGGACAGTGAGGGGACAGCAGGGACACTGGCAGGACTTGGGGGGACATCAGGGGGGACTGGGGGGCACAAAATGAGCACCGAGGGTGACAGCGAGCGACACTGAGGGGCCATCTGGGGACACTGGGGGACATCAGGAGGCACTGGGGGGGACATTGGGGGACATCAGGGACCCTGTGGAGGACCTGGGGGGACATCAGAGGACGCAGGGGGACACTGGAGGGACATCAGGGTGACAGCAGGGGACACTGAGGGACGGTGGGGGACAGGGAGGGACTCTGGGGGGAAACAAGGGGGACGTCAGGGGGACATCAGGTGGCACCTGGGGACATTGAAGGATACCAGGGGACATCAGGGGGACACTGTGGGGACATCGGGAGATATCGGGGGGACATCAAGGGGCGACGTCTGGTGACACCAGAGGGGGTGTGAGGGTGACACCAGGGGACACTTGGGGACATTGAGGGGGACACCAGGGGGGCACGAGGGACCTGCCGGCTTTGCTGTCCCCCCCCCCCCCCCCCCCATCCAAGGCTGTCATTGTCCCTTTTTTGCCGCTGTTTGTCCCCAAATTGTCACCGCTTTGTCTCCCCCATTTTGGGACCCCTCCTTGTCCCCCAAGATTTCCTGACCACCCCCCCCTTTCCCTGCTGCCCTGAGACCCCTCCCCACATTCCCCCAGTGTCCCCTCTCCTTGTCCCCACTTGGTGACACCCCCCAGACCCCTCCCTGTCCCGCTTCTCAGGGACCCCCAAAACCCCCCCAGGACCCCCCAAAAAACCCCCTTTACCTCCCCAGGACCCCCCAAAACCCCCCCAGACCCCCCCTTTACCCCCCCTTTACCCCCCCCACTCCCTTTGCTCCTCTATGGACCCCAGCCCTTTGTCCCCCCCCTGTGTCCCTCAGCTCCTTCCCCCCTCCTGTGCCCCCCCAATGACCCCCAGGGACCCCCGAGGGAACCCCCAAACCCCCCAGGGACCCCCCAAGTCCCCAGAGGACCCCCAAGGACCCCCCCAGCCCCAAGGACCCCCTCAGGACTCCCCCTTTTTCTCCTCTTTCCTCCCTTTGTGACCCCAACCCCTCATCCCCTGTGGGTTCTTCATCTCCCAACCCCCCCGTGCCCCTCCCCAATGACCCCAGGGACCCCCCAGGACCCCCCAAGTCCCCAAAAGACTCCCCCAACCCCAAAGGACCCCCCCAAGCCCCAAAAATCCCCCCTGAACGCCCCCTTTTTCTCTGTTTTTCCCCTTTTGTCACCCCAAGCCCTCGTTCTGTGTGGCTCCCTCAGCTCCCCCCATCTCATACCCCCACAATGACCCAAGGGACCCCCGAGGGACCCCCCCAGAGACCCCCCCAAGATGCCAAGGGACCCCCCCAAAGGACCCCCAGGACCCCCCCCGAGCCCGGCTGTGTCTCCAGCAGGAGCACCGGTTCGAGAAGGCTCTGCGGGAGAAGAAAGGCTTCATCATCAAACGCATGAAGGAGGACGGGGCCTGCCTGTTCCGGCCGTGGGTGAGCCCGAAATCACCCCAAAAATCACCCCAAAAATCTACCCAAAACCCCCCCAAAATCACCCCACAAAAACTCCAAAAAACACCCCCAAAACCCGCCCAAAATCACCCCAAACCTACCCCAAAAATCCCCCAAAATCACCCCAAAAAAATCCCCCAAAATCACCCCCAAAAATTCCCCAAAATCCCTCAAAATCACCTCAAAAAACACCCCCAAAACCCACCCAAAATCACCCCAAACCCACCCCAAAAATTCCCCAGAATCAGCCCAAGAAAAACGAAAATCAGCCCAAAAAAGCCCCAAAAATCCCCCAAAAAACACCGCAAAAACCACCCCCAAAATCACCCCACAAAAACCCCAAAAAACACCCCTAAAACCCACCCAAAATCACCCCAAAAACCACCAAAGCCACCCCAAAATTCCCCAAAAAGAACCCTCAAAATCACCCCAAAATCATCACCCCAAAATCCTCCAAAATCCTATCACCCCCAAAAAACCAAAATCACCAAAAAAATTCCCCCAAGTCACCCCAAAAATCCCCCAAAATCACCCCAAAAAACCCCCAAAATCCCCCCAGCCCCCCCCCCCGAGGCGCTGCCACCCCCCCAATGTCCCCTGTGTGTCCCCCCCGCAGCCGATCAGGTGTACGGAGACCAGGACATGCACGAGGTGGTGAGGAAGCACTGCATGGACTACCTGGTGAGGGACTGGGGGGCACTGGGAGGGACTGGGAGGGCACGGGAGGGGACTGGGAAGGGGACACAGATGGACTGGGAAGAGACTGGGAGGGCACTGGGATGGACTGGGACAGACTGGGATGGATGGAGAGAGCACTGGGAGGGACTGGGATGGACTGGGAGGGCACTGGGAGGGACTGGGATGGACTAGGGAATGCACTGGGATGGACTGGGAGGATTGGGAGGGGACTGGGAGGGCATTGGAAAGGACTGGGAAGGCACTGGGGGAACTGGGAGGGACTGGGATGCACTGAGGGAGCACTGGGATTGCCTGGAAGGCGCTGGGAGGGGACTGGAGGGCACTGGGATGGACTGGGATGGACTGGGAGAGCACTGGATGGACTGGGGGGGACTGGGATGGGCTAGGATGGGTTGGGAGGGGCATTAAGAGGGACTGGGAGGGACTGGGATGGACCTGGGAGGGGATTGGGATGGACTGGTGAGGGACTGGGAGGACACTGGGGGACACTGGGGGGCACTGGGAGGGGATTGGGGGGCACTGGGGGACACTGGGGGGGACTGGGGGACACTGGGGGGGACTGGGAGGGGATTGGGGGGCACTGGGAGGGTGCTCAGAACTTGGGGGGACCAGGTCACTGTTCCCTCCCCTCTCCCCCAGTGTCCCCAGGGCTCTCCCACTTCTGTCCCCAGTGTCTCTGTGCTGGCTGTGTCCCTCCCCACCACTGTCCCCAACCTGTCCCCAGCTGTCTCCCGTGTCCCCAGCTATCCCCAACCTGTCCCCAGCCTGTCCCCAGCTGTCCCCAATGGTGCTGTGCCTGTCCCCCTGTGTTCCCAGCTGTCCCCAGCCTGTCCCCAACCTGTCCCCTGTGTCTCCAGATGAAGAACGCCGATTATTTCTCCAATTCAGTGTCCCCAGGGCTCTCCCAGCCTGTCCCCAATGGTGCTGTGCCTGTCCCCAGCCTGTCCCCCATGTCCCTAACCTGTCCCCAGCCTGTCCCCCGTGTGCCCAACCTGTCCCCTGTGTCCCCAGATGAAGAACGCCGATTATTTCTCCAATTACGTCACGGAGGATTTCACCACCTACATCAACCGCAAGCGCAAGAGCACCTGCCACGGGAACCACATCGAGATGCAGGCCATGGCCGAGATGTACAACCGGCCCGTCGAGGTCTACCAGTACGGCACTGGTGAGACTGGGAGGGACTGGGAGCACTGGGGAGGGGTCCCATGCACACTGGGAACACTGGGGAGGGGTCCCACGGGTGCTGGGGGTTATTGGGGAGGGGTCTCTGGGGGGCCATGGGAGCCACATGGAGATGCAGACCATGGCTGAGATGTACAGCCAGCCCATGGGAGGCTACCAGTATGGCACTGGTGAGACTGGAAGCACTGGGGAGGGGTCCCTGAGGCACTGGGGTTATTGGGGAGGGGTCCCCTGGGTGCTGGGTTATTGGGGAGGGGTCTCTGAGGGACCATGGGAACCACAGCCATGGCCGAGATGTACAACCGGCCCGTCGAGGTCTGCCAGTACGGCACTGGTGAGACTGGGGGCACTGGGGAGGGGTCCCATGGGTGCTGGGGTTATTGGGGAGGGGTCCCTGAGGCACTGGGAGCACTGGGGAGGGGTCCAAGGTGCCATTCTTGAGATCCCTGCTGTGTGTTTTGGGGTCCCAGGTGGATTTTTTGAGGATCCCATCCAAATTTTCAGGGATCCCATCCAAATTTTCGGGGATCCCATCTGGATTTTGGAGGATCCCAGCTGCTTTTGCAAGGATCCCATCTGAATTTTTGGGGTCTCATCTGAATTTTTGGGATCCCGTCTGGTTTTTTTGAGATCCCAGCTGGATTTTCGGAGATCCCGTCTGGATTTTCGGGAATCCCATCTGGTTTTTTGGGATCCCATCCCGATTTTTTGGATCCCATCCCGATTTCTTGGATCCCAGCTGTTTTTGTGAAATCCCATCTGTACTTTTTTTTGGATCCTATCTAGATTTTCGGGGCTCCCAGGCAGTTTTTTAGGATCCCAGCTGTTGTTTCCAGGATTTCATCTGGATTTTTGGGGTGCCATTGTATTTGGGGTCCCATGTGTATTTTGAGGTTCCATCTGGGTTTTTGGAGTGCCATGTGTTATTTTGGGGTCCCATCTGGGTTTTTTGGGTGCCACGTGTATTTTGGGGTCCCATCTGTTTTTGCGAGACCCCAGCTGGATTTTTTGGATCCTATCTGGATTTTCGGGGCTCCCAGTCAGTTTTTTAGGATCCCAGCTGTTTTCTCAATTATTTAATCTGTATTTTGGGGTGCTGTGTGTTATTTTTGGGGTGCCCAGAGCCCATCAACACGTTCCCACGGCATCCAGCACAACGAGGACGAGCCCATCCGGGTCAGCTACCACCGCAACATCCACTACAACTCCGTGGTGAACCCCAACAAGGCGACCATCGGCGTGGGGCTGGGGCTGCCCTCCTTCAAACCGGGGGTACGTGGGGTTGGGACCCCGAAATTGGGGTCTGGGAACCCTCCCTGAGCCCCCTTTCTGTGGGGCTGGGGCTGCCCTGCTTCAAACTGGGGGTACGGGATGGGGGGACCCCGAAATTGGGGTCTGGGGACCCTCCCTGAGCCCCCATTCCATCCCTGAGCCCCCTTTCTGTGGGGCTGGGGCTGCCCTCCTTCAAACCGGGGGTACGGGATGGGGGGGACCCCGAAATTGGGGTCTGGGGACCCTCCCTGAGCCCCCATTCCATCCCTGAGCCCCCTTTCTGTGGGGCTGGGGCTGCCCTCCTTCAAACTGGGGGTACGGGACAGGGGGGACCCCGAAATTGGGGGGTGGGGATCCTCTCTGAGCCCCCTTTCTATGGGGCTGGGGCTGCCCTCCTTCAAAACAGGGTAAATGGGGGGGACCCCGAAATTGGGGTCTGGGGACCCTCCCTGAGCCCCATTCCATCCCTGAACGCCCTTTCTGTGGGGCTGGGGCTGCCCTCCTTCAAACCGGGGGTACGGGACAGGGGGGACCCCGAAATTGGGGTTTGAGGAGTCTGATTTGGGGGATAGGACCCCTAATTTGAGGTCTGGGGACTTTGATTTGGGGGGTGGGATCCCAAGTTTGGGGAGTGGGGACTGTGATTTAGGGGTGGACCTCGAGTTTGGGTGGGGTCCTGAGTTTGGGGTCTGGGAACCTTGATTTGGGGGCTGGGGAGTCTGATTTGGGGAGTAGGACCCCGAGTTTGGGGGGTGGGACCCCAAGATTGCGGTCTGGGGACCTTTCCTGAACCCCCATTCCATCCCTGAGCCCCCTTTCCGTGGGGCTGGGGCTGCCCTCCTTCAAACCGGGGGTACGCGATGGGGGACCCCGAGATTGGGGTCTGAGGGCCTTGATTTGGGGGGTGGGACCCCCTGCGTGTCCCACGGTGTCTCCTGTGTGTTCCTGGTGTCCCCAATGTCCCCTCCGGTTCCTCATGTCCCCTTGTGTCCCCTCGTGTCCCCAGTGTCCCCCCATGTTCCCAATGTCCCCAGCGTCGCCTCACATCCCAGTGTCCCCAATGTCCCCAGTGCCCCTCACGTCCCACAGTGTCCCTTTGCGTCCCCAGTGTCCCCTCATGTCCCCAATATCTCCGGTGTCCCAATGTCCCCTCTCATCCCCTGGTGTCCCCAGTGTCCCCAATGCCCCTCACGTCCCCCAGTGTCTCCATTGTCCCTGGTGTCCTCTCATGTCCCCATGTCCTCAGTGTCCCCCATGCTCCCAATGCCCCCCTCATGTCCTCAGTGTCCCTGGTGTCCCCAATGTCCCCCTCACATCCTGTAGTCCCCCGATGTCCCCCAGTGTCCTCAGTGCCCTGGTGTCCCCAGTGTTGCGGTGTCCTCAATGTCCCCAGTGTCCCCTCACGTCCCGGTGTCCCCAATGTCCCTTCATGTCCTGGTGTCCCCAATGTCCCCAATATCTCCAATGTCCCCTCACGTCCCGGTGTCCTCAGTGTCCCCTCACATCCTGCTGTCCCCAGTGTCCCCAGTATCCCCACTGTCCCCAGTGTCCCACTGTCCCCAATGTCCCCAATGTCCCCTGGTGTCCCCACTGTCCCCAGTGTCCCCACTGTCCCCAGTGTCCCCAATGTCCCCCGTGTCCCCACTGTCCCCAGTGTCCGCACTGTCCCCTGTGTCCCCACTGTCCCCTGTGTCCGCGCTGTCCCCAGTGTCCCCACTGTCCCAGTGTCCCCACTGTCCCCAGTGTCCGCGCTGTCCCCTGTGTCCCCACTGTCCCAGTGTCCCCACTGTCCCCTGTGTCCGCGCTGTCCCCAGTGTCCCCACTGTCCCAGTGTCCCCCACTGTCCCAGTGTCCGCGCTGTCCCCTGTGTCCCCAGCTGGCGGAGCAGTCCCTGATGAAGAGCGCCATCAAGACGTCGGAGGAGTCGTGGATCGAGCAGCAGATGCTGGAGGACAAGAAGCGCGCCACCGACTGGGAGGCCACCAACGAGGCCATCGAGGAGCAGGTGGCCCGCGAGTCCTACCTGCAGTGGCTGCGCGACCAGGAGAAGCAGGCGCGGCAGGTGGGACAGCGCGCGTGCGTCACTGTCACTGTCACCAGTGTCACCGTCCCTGTCACCAATGTCACCGTCCCTGTGAGCCCCTTGTGTCACCATCGGTGTCAGCGTCCATGTCACCATCCCTGTCACTGTCCATGTCACTGTCCGTGTCCCTGCCATCCCCTTGTGTCACCATCCCTGTCACCGTCTGTGTCACCATCCCTGTCACCAGTGTCGCCATCCCTGTCACCGCCCCTGTCATCCCTGTGTCACCATCCTGTCGCCATCCTGTCACCATTCCTGTCACAAGTGTCACCATCTCTGTCACTGTCCATGTCACGATCCGTGTCCCTGCCATCCCCTCGTGTCACCGTCCCTGTCACCATCAGTGTCCCTGGTGTCACTGCCCGTGTCACCGTTGATGTCCCTGCCACACCTCATGTCACCATCCGTCCCTGTGAGCCCCTGGTGTCACCATCCGTGTCACCATTCATGTCACCATCTGGCCCCTGGTGTCCCCATCTGTGTCACCATCAGTGTCACCGCCCCTGTCACCATCCCTGTCACCATCCGTGTCCCCAGAAGCTCCTAGTGTCACCATCAGTGTCACCATCTGTGTCCCTGCCATCCCCTGGCGTCACCATCTGTGTCACCATGCCTGTCACCATCCGTGTCACCGTCAGTGTCCCTGGTGCCACCACCTATGTCACCAATCGTGTCACCGTCAGTGTCCCTGGTGCCACTGTCTGTGTCACCATCCATGTCCCTGTGAGCCCTTGGTGCCACCATCTGTGTCATCACCCCTGTCACCATTCGTGTCTCCATTGGTGTCACCGGGAGCCCCTGTGTCACCATTGGTGTCACCACCAGTGTCCCTGTGAGCCCCTGGTTTCACCACTGGTGTCACCATCGGTGTCCCTGCCATCCCTTGGTGTCCCCATCGCTGTCCCATGAGCCCCTGGTGTCCCCTGGTGTCCCCACAGCCACGCCGTGGCTGCGGCCAGTGGCCTGGAGGAGTGGAGTGACCACTGACCCCTGTGCACTGTGGTCACTCTATGATCACTCTGTGCTCACTCTATGGTCACTATGGTCACTCTGTGGTCACTCTGTGGTCACTCTGGTCACTCTATGGTCACTCTGTGCTCACTCTATGGTCACTCTGGTCACTCTGTGGTCACTTTGGTCATTCTATGGTCACTCTGGTCACTCTGTGGTCACTCTGTGCTCACTCTATGGTCACTCTGGTCACTCTGTGGTCACTCTGGTCACTCTATGGTCACTCTGGTCACTCTGTGCTCACTCTATGGTCACTCTGGTCACTCTGTGGTCACTCTGGTCACTCTGTGCTCACTCTATGGTCACTATGGTCACTCTGTGGTCACTCTGGTCACTCTGTGCTCACTCTATGGTCACTATGGTCACTCTATGGTCACTCTGGTCACTCTGTGCTCACTCTATGGTCACTCTGGTCACTCTGTGCTCACTCTGGTCACTCTATGGTCACTCTGGCCACTCTGTGCTCACTCTATGGTCACTCTGTGGTCACTGTGGTCACTCTATGGTCACTCAGTGGTCACTCAGTGTCACTCTGGTCACTCTCACTGTCCCCACAGCCGCGCAAGGCCAGCGCCACGTGCAGCTCGGCCACGGCGGCGGCCGCCAGCGGCCTGGAGGAGTGGAGCGGGCGCTCCCCCCGGCCCCGCAGCGCCGCCCCCCTCCCCCGAGCACCCCGGGCTGCACCCCGAGACCCCCCGGCCCCAAACCGCCCTCGCCCGGAGCGCCCCTGCTGGAAACCGCCCTCGCCCTGCGCGCCAGGTGCCGCCAGGGGCGCTGGGGGCAAACTGGGGGGCAAACTGAGAATCTGGACTGGGGGCAAACTGGGGGAACTGGGGGCAAACTGGGAGGCAAACTGGGAGTGCAAAGTGGGGGCACTGGGGAGACTGGGAACACAAACTGGGGGCATTGGGAGGGGTGGGGGACAAACTGGGGACACTGGGGAGTACTGGGGGCACTGGGAGTGCAAACGGGGGGCACTGGGAACCTAAACTGGGGGCACTGGGAGCACTGGGAGTGCAAACTGGGGGCACTGGGAGCACTGAGGGGGGCAAACTGGGGGCACTGGGAACACAAACTGGGGGGACTGGGAGACCTAACTGGGGGCACTGGGAACACTGGGAGTCTGGACTGGGAGCACTGGGGGGACTGGGGGGCAAACTGGGGGCACTGGCAGCACTGGGAGCCTAAAGTGGGGGGCCTGGGAGCACTGGGGCACAAACTGGGGGGACTGGGGGGACTGGGAGCCTAAACTGGGGCACTGGCAGCACTGGGAGTCTAAACTGGGGGGACTGGGAATCTGGGGCACTGGGAGCCCAGACTGGGAGAATGGGGAGCCCAAACTGGGAGCTCTGGGGATACTGGGAGCTCAAACTTGGGGGGATGGAGAGGCCTAACTGGGGGGACTGGGGCACTGGGAGCCCAAACTGGGAGTTACTGGGAGGTTTTGGGGTGCTGGAGGGGTTAACTATGTGCTAATGGGGCACTGGGATCCCTCAAACTGGGACTGGGGGATAGGGACGGATTTGGGGTCTGGGGTAGGGCTCCCTGATCCCAAATGTGGGGATTTGGGGTTGAGGGGTCCCTGATGCCAAATTTTGGGGTTTTTTGGGGGGGTCCCTGAGCCCAGTGCCCCCTCAGGGACCAGCAGCCAGCTGGGGGCGGGTTTGGGGTGTTTTTTTGGGGATTTTTGGGGGGTCCCTAACCCCAATTTCCCCCCAGGGACCAGCAGCCAGCTGAGGGTGGGGGGATTTGGCTTTTTTTTGTTTCTTGGGGTTTTTCGGGGGGTCCCTAACCCCAAATTCCCCCCAGGGACCAGCAGCCAGCTGGGGGGGGGGTATCTGGGAGATTTTGGGGTTTTTGGGGATTTTTGGGGGGTCTTTAACCCAAATTCCCCCCAGGGACCAGCAGCCAGATGGGGGCAGGTTTGAGGTGTTTTTTTGGGTTTTTTGGGGATTTTTGGGGGGTCTTTAACCCCAATTCCCCCCCAGGGACCAGCAGCCAGCTGGGGGCGGGGGATTCGGGGATTTTGGGGTTTTTTGGGGATTTTTGGGGGTCTTTAACCCCAAATTCCCCCCAGGGACCAGCAGCCAGCTGGGGGCAGGTTTGAGGTGTTTTTTGGGGTTTTTTGGGATTTTTGGGGGGTCTTTAACCCCAAATTCCCCCCAGGGACCAGCAGCCAGATGGGGGCAGGTTTGAGGTGTTTTTTGGGGTTTTTTGGGGATTTTTGGGGGGTCTTTAACCCCAATTCCCCCCCAGGGACCAGCAGCCAGCTGGGGGGCGGGGGGATTCGGGAATTTTGGGGTTTTTTGGGGATTTTTGGGGGGGTCTTTAACCCCAAATTCCCCCCAGGGACCAGCAGCCAGCTGGGGGCGGGGGGCGGCCGGGCCACGCCCCCGCTGGTGTCGCTGTACCCGCGCTCGAGTGCCGCGCCATCATGCAGCAGATGTCCCCGACCGCCTTCGGTGAGCCAAAAAACCGAGAATTTGGGGCGTTTTGGGGAAATTTGGGAGGGTTTTGGGGGGATTTTGGGGTGTTCTGGGAGGGTTACCAGTGGTTCTGGAGGGATTTAAGGTGTTTTTTTGAGGGTTGTTTTGCAGGGCTTTGAAGTGGTTTTTGGGGAATTCAGGGTTTTGGGTTGTTTCGGGGCGATTTTAGGATGTTTAGGGTTGTTGTTTGGGGGATTGAGGGGTTTTGGGGGCGTTTTAGAGGATTCTGGGTTATTTGGGGGGTTTTAAGGGGCTTTTGGGGTGTTTGGGGGAATTTGGGGTTGTTTTGGGGGATTTAGGGGCGTTTTATGGTTGCTTTTTGGGGGATTGAGGTTGTTTTGGGGGTGTTTTAGGGGATTCTGGATTATTTTGGGGTACTTTAGAAGGATTTTGGGGGGATTAGGGGTTGTTTCGGGGAGCTTTTGGGGCGTTTTAGGGTTTTGGGGGATTTTTCAGTTGTTTTGGGGCGATTTGGGGCCTTTTGGGTGAATTTTGGGGCATTTTAGGGTTGTTTTTTATGGGGCTTTAGGTTGTTTTGGGGGGACTTTGGGTTGTTTTGGGGTTGTTTTTGGGGAGTTTTAAGGGGATTTTGAGGTGTTTCGGGGGATTTTGGGGCATTTTTAGTGTTGTTTTGGGGGGATTTTAGGGTTGTTTTGAGGGGGATTTAGGGTTGTTTTCTGGTTTTGGGGGGGATTTTGGGGCGTTTTAGGGTTAATTTTGGGGTGGATTTAAGGTGGTTTTTGGGGAATTCAGGGTTGTTTTTTGGGGGATTTCCGGTTGCTTTGGGGGGATTTTGAGTTGTTCTGGGAGGGATTTTGAGGGGATTTCGGGTTGTTTCAGCGTTGGTTTTGTGGGGAATTTGGGGGAGATTTAGGGGCGTTTTAGGGGGATTTAGGGCTGGTTTTGGGGGATTTTGGGGCGTTTGAGGAGATTTTGCAGCATTTTAGAGCTGTTTTGGGGGGATTTTAGGGTTGTTTTGGGGAGATTTTGGGTTGTTTCGGGGTTGTTTTTGGGGAGTTTTAAGAGGGATTTTGAGGTGTTTTGGGGGATTTTGGGGCATTTTAGGGTTATTTTGGGGTGGATTTAAGGTGGTTTTTAGGGAATTTAGGGTCGGTTTTTGGGGGATTTCCGGTTGCTTTGGGGGGATTTTGAGTTGTTCTGGGGGGGATTTGGGGGGGATTTTAGGGTGTTTTGGGGGTTGACGGTCATTTTGTGGGTTTAGGGTCGTTTTGGAGTGGTTTAAGATAATTTTGGGAGATGTGGGATCATTTTGGAGGCTTGGCATGCAGTTTAGGGGAGGAATTTTTATTCCTGGGCTCATTTAATGAGAATTTTGGGTATCCAGCAGTTGAGAAAACCCCATGGAGGTGTGGATTTATCCTTTATTTTCCAATTTTTGAGCCCAAATCCACCCCGATTTCAATACCTGGGCTGCCTCCAGAGCTTCCAAACTTTCTCCCCCAAACCCCCCCCATCTCCCCCACCCCAAATTGAAATTTTTGGGGTTCCCCCCCACCCCCGCCCCAGGCCTGAACGACTGGGAGGACGACGAGATCCTGGCGTCGGTGCTGGCGGTGTCGCAGCAGGAGTACCTGGAGACCATGAAAACCTCGCGCCACAGAGACCCCGCCGCCGACAAGAGTTGATATTGAACCCCCGGACTGCGAACCCCCCCCAAAAAAAAAAAACCCCAAAATCCCCCCTCCCCCCCCCAGAGAGACCCTCCGGACCCCGCCCCCCCCCCCCACACCCAAAAAAAACAACCAAAAAAAAAAACCAACAAAAAAACCACGGCTGAACCCCCCCGACCCCCCCCCTCCCCCAAATTCCCACCCCCCCCCCCAAAAACAAAACCCCCTAAGGGACTCTGGGTGTGAGCTGGGGGGGGGCTGAGTTTGGGGGTGACACAAAACCCCCCCCCCCCCCCCGGCAAAAACATGGAAAATGGGGGAGGGGGACACTGCGCTGGACGCCGCGGATGAACCTCGGCTGATTGATTTTGGGGGGGGGAGAACATGATGATGATGATGAAGATGGAGATGGAGATGGAGAAGACCCCTCCTCAAAATGACTGGGGGAATGGTGAGGGAGGGGCTGGTATTTTTTTTTTAGGGTCTCCTCTTTGTTCCCCTCCCCCCACCCCAAACCACCACCGTGGGATTTTTGCTGTTTGGAGGATGGGAAAGGGGGGGGAGGGGAAAATGGGGGGGGAGGGGTCTTCACTCTGCCCCTCCCCCCTCTCTCGAGTATCAGCACCTGGGGGGGAGGGGGGGGAAGGGGGGTCCGGGGGTGCTGCCCCCCCACACCCCCCCCGCACCCCGGTATTAAACTGATGCCCAGCAGCCCCCTGGCCCCGTCTGTTCGTGGGGGGCTCGGCCCCCTCCCCCACTCTCCCCCCAGACAGCCTCTTGGGGGTCCCCAGGCCCTTCGGGAGGCCCTGGGAAAGGAAGGGGAGGTGGAGATTTGCGGTTTTTGGGGGTCTCGGCTCGGTTTTGGAGGCCTCGGGCCTGGTTTTGGGCACTTCCGTGTTTACCCCGCGGTTGCCATGGTGATGCGTCGCGCTGGGATGACGCGCGCGGTGGCGGCAGCCAATCAGCGGTGAGGGCGGGAGTGAGGGTCTGTGTCACGTGGGACCGCGCCGCTGCTTGACCCAAGCGATGTCCGGGGGGTTTGGGGGCTATCGGGGCTCTGCGGGTGCTGTCGTGATACAGAAAATATCGTGACAGCCGTGGCGGGGGGTTGGGTCTCGTTATATCGCGAGAAAGCGGCGCGGGATCTCCCGGTGGCGTCGCGCTAGGCCGCGTTTCCATGGCGACAACGGGGCGTGGTTAGGGGCGTGATTAGCACATTATGGCGGCTTCTCATTGGTCGGTGGGCGGAGTTTGTGGCGTTGCTCCGCCCCTTTCCCCGGCCGCCAGGGGGCGCCACGCGCGGAGCGGGGGCGAGCGCGGGGAATGGAGCTGCGCGGTGCGCCCGGTGAGGGCCGGGGTCTGAGGGAAAATGGGGTCTGAGAGGGGCAAGATGGGATTTGTGAGGGAAAAATGGGAATTGTGAGGGGAAAAATGGAGTTTGTGAGGGGGGAAATGGGGTTTGTGAGGGGAGAATGGGGTTTGTGAGGGGGAAAATGGGGTTTGTGAGGGGAAAAATGGAGTTTGTGAGGGGGGAAATAGGCTTTGTGAGGGGAAAATGGGGTTTGTGAGGGGAAAATGGGGTCTGAGAGGGGTAAAGTGGGTTTTGTGAGGGGAAAATGGGATTTGTGAGGGAAAAATGGGGTTTGTGAGGGGAAAAATATGATTTGTGAGGGAGAAAAGGGGTTTGTGTGGGGAAAGTGAGGTTTGTGAGGGAAAAATGCGGTTTGTGAGGGGTGTCCTGCGGGGAAAATGAGGATCCTGAGGGGAAAATGGGCTTTGTAACGGGTGTCCTGAGGGAAAACAGGGTTTGTGAGGGGGGAAAATGGGTCCTGTGAAGGGAAAATGGGATCTTAGACGGGAGCCCTGAGGGGAAAATGGGGATCCTGAGGGGGAATCCTGAGGGGCAAATGGGGGTCTCTCGGGAGGGGGAGTGTGAGGGGGGTCCTGAGGGGTTTGGGGGACAGATGAGGGGAAAATGGGGGTCCCTGAGGAGAAATTGGAGTCCTGAGGATTTTGGGGGGAAATTTCAGGGGTCTCTGAGGGGACATTTTGGTTTTGGAGGACGGTGTATTTTGGGGCTGGGGGGCACACAGGGTACCTGGGGGTGGGACACAAGGGGGTCAGTGATACCGCGACCCCCCCGTGACCCCCAAATCCCCTCCCCAGATCCCGTCAGGAGAAGGAGAAAGCGCAAAAAGGACAAAAAACCGAAAGCACCCCCAAGGTGAGGGGGGGGCAGCGGGGCCACGACCCTTACCCAGAATTGGGGGGAGGGGGACACACACATGGGCAGAGCCCCCTTTTAAGGGGTGGGGGGGGGGGACATTCCGAGCCGCCCCTCCCCCTCCTGGGCTATTTTTAGCCCCGCGGGCCGGGGGGGCCTTGAGGTCATTTCTATTTTGGGGGGGGTGATGGCCCAGAATGCCCCGCACCTGCCACCCCCCCCCAGCTCGGGGGGGCTCTGGGACCTCCCAGCGCTGCCCTGGGACCATTCCCGGCTCCTCTGGGGCTGTGGGACCACCCTGGGACCCCCCCCCCAGCATGGGGGAGACCCCCGAAGGGACCAGGTATGGGGGGGGCAGAGAGGAGACCCCCGAGGGGGGCAGAATTTGGGGAGGGGGTGGCAGAGAAGAGACCCCCAAAGGGAGCAGATTTTGGGGAGGGGGTGGCAGAGAAGAGACCCCTGAAAGTTCCAGATTTTGGGGAGGGGGTGCAGAGAGGAGATCCCCGAAGGTTCCAGATTTTAGGGGGGGGGGGACCCCCAAAGGGAGCAAATTTTGGGGAGGGGGGGTCAGAGACAAGACCCCTAAAATTTCCAGGTTTTGAGGAGGAGGGGGCAGAGAGGGGACCCCCAAAGGGGGCAGATTTTGGGGAGGGGGGTGGCACAGAGGAGACCCCCGAAGGTTCCAGAGGAGACCCCCGAAGGTTCCCGATTTTGGGGAGGGGGTCCAAAGCCGGGCTGTGCTGGGGTCTGGGGGTCGCTGTCCCCGCCCATGGGGGGGTCCCATCTTTGCTGTCCCCCCACCCAGGACCCCCCAGCCCCCCCCCGCGAGGTGTCCCCAGACCCCCCCCCCGGCGCCGCCGTCGCTGTGCGAGTCCCTGCTGGGCTCCGACGAGGGGGAGCAGGAGGATCCCCGCGATTACTGCAAAGGTGGGCAGGGACACCCCGCTCCTTTTGGGGGTGTTCGGGGGGGGGGTCCCCAAACCCCAGCGTGACCCCCGCGCCCCCTCCCCAGGCGGGTATTACCCCGTTCGCATCGGGGACCTTTTCCACGGGCGCTACCACGTTGTTCGCAAGCTGGGCTGGGGGCCATTTCTCCACCGTGTGGCTCTGCTGGGACCTGCGGTGAGTGCGGGGGACACGCGGGGGTGGGGGGCTCCTCCTCTCTCCTGGGGGGGGGGGGGCTCCCCTGGAATTTATTTTGGGGTTCCCCTGCTTTTCTCTGGGCAGGAGGAAACGTTTCGTGGCGGACGGCGCTGGATGAGATCAAACTGCTGAAATGTGTGAGTGCCCCCCGGCCCCCCCAAACAGGGGACACCCCCAAATTCACCCCCGTGACCCCCCCCCGGCCCCCCCCCCAAACCGGGGACCCCCCCCAAATTCCCCTCCGTGCCCCCCCAGGTGCGGGACTCGGACCCCAGCGACCCCAAGCGGGAGAACATCGTGCAGCTCATCGATGACTTCAAGATTTCGGGGGTCAACGGCGTCCGTATCCTTCTGGGGGGTTCCCAGGGGGGGTACCCCGAGTTTTTCAGCCCATGTTGGGGGGGGGTCTCAGGGGTTTTGGGGGTTCCTTGACCGCCCCCCACCCCAGATGTTTGCATGGTGCTGGAGGTGCTGGGGCACCAACTGCTGCGCTGGATCATCAAATCCAACTACCAGGGGCTGCCCCTGCCCTGCGTCAAGAGCATCGTGCGGCAGGTGAGGGGGGCTGGGGGACCCCAAATCTGTCCGTGGGACCCCGAATGGGCTGAACAGAGACCCCCCAGAGCCCCCCAAATCCTCCCGGTTCACTGGGACCCCAAATGGGCTGTACAGACACCCCCAAATCCCTCCCTGGGACCCCAAATGGACTGCACAGAGACCCCCAAATCCCCCTAAATCCTTCTGGTTCACTGGGACCCCAAATCCCTCCCTGGGACCCCAAATTGGCTGCACAGAGCCCCCCAAATCCCCTCGGTTCACTGGGACCCCAAATGGGCTGAACAGAGACCCCCAAGATGCCCCCAGATCCCCCCAGCTCCCAGCTTTGGGGTGCCCCTCCTCACTTTGGTGTGCCCCACCTGCTTTGGGGTTCCCCTCCCCAAATTTGGGGTGCCTGTCCAGATTTGAGCTGTCCCTTCCTGATCAGGGTGCCCCTCCCAGATCTGGGATGCCTTCCCAGATTTTGGGGTTCCCGCCCCAGATTTAGGCTGTCCCTCCCCAATTTGGGGTGCTCCACTTGCTTTGGGGTGCCCCCCCCCCCCCCGATTTGGGATGCCCCCCTGATTTTGGGGTGCCCCCCTTGATTTGGGCTGTCCCTCCCCAATTTTGGCTTTCCCTTCCCGATTGGGATGCCCCCCCCCCCCCCCCCCCCCAATTTGGGATTTCCCCCCCGATGTCCGGGTGCCCCCCCCCCGATATTGGGGTTCCCCCCAGATTTCAGGTTTGCCCTCCTAATGTTGGGATGCCCCCCCAGATTTGGGATGCCCCCCCAGATTTGGGGTTTCCCCCCCGCGATTCGGGGGTTCCTTGCTGGATTTTGGATGCCCCCTCAGATTTTTAGTTCCCCTCCAATTTCAGGGTTTCCCCCCCGATTTCGGGGTTCTCGCCCCATGTCAGGGATCCCCCCCCGATGTCAGGAGTCCCCCCCCCTGATTTCGGGGTCCCCCCTGATGTCGGGGCGCGGTTTCAGGTGCTGGAGGGGCCTGGATTACCTGCACACCAAGTGCAAGATCATCCACACGGACATCAAGCCCGAGAACGTGCTGCTGTGCGTGGCGCCGCCCTACCTGCGGCACCTGGCGGCGCAGGCGGCGGCGTGGGCACGGGGGGGCGGCCCCCCCCGCGGGGCAGGTACCCCAAAATACAGCCCGGGGCAGGGGGGTACCCCAAAATACATCCTATGGGGGGGACAGCCCCCCCCGCGGGGCAGGTACCCCAAAATATCCAAAATACATCCCTGGGGGGAAGGGGGTACCCCAAAACCCCCCCGCGGGGCAGGTACCCCAAAATATCCAAAATACATGGGGGGGGTACTCCAAAACTCACCCCCGCGGGGCAGGTACCCCAAAATATCCACCATCGGGAGGGAGGTACCCCAAAATACATCCCATGGCGGGGGACAGCCCCCCCGCGGGCAGGTACCCCAAAATATCCAAAATACATGGGGGGTACCCCAAAACCCCCCCATGGGGCAGGTAACCCCAAAACCCATCCCATGGGGACAGGTACCCCAAAATATCCACCATGATGGGGGAGGGTAACCCCAAAACCCATCCCCGGAGGGGGAGGGTACCCCAAACATCCATCCCGTGTGCAGGTACCTGTTGATACCCCGAAGTCCAGGTGTGCCCAATCCCCCACTGCTCTGGGGGTCCCCCTGGAATTTGGGGATCCCCCAAATCCCCCCACACCTGGGCTGAGCCCCCCTCCTGTCTGTCCACAGTGAGCTCGGCGCCCCAGGAGGAACCTGTGAGTGATTGCACACCTGGGTGTGTGTGCTCACACCTGTGTGTGTGTGCGTGTGCTCACACCTGTGTGTGTGTGTGCTCACACCTGTGTGTGTGTGTGTGCTCACACCTGTGTGTGTGTGTGCTCACACCTGTGTGTGTGCGTGTTTGCTCACACCTGTTTGCGTGTGTGTGCTCACACCTGTGTGTGTGTGTGTGTGTGCTCACACCTGTGTGTGTGCTCACACCTGTGTGTGTGTGTGCTCACACCTGTGTGTGTGCGTGTTTGCTCACACCTGTTTGCGTGTGTGTGCTCACACCTGTGTGTGTGTGTGTGTGTGTGTGCTCACACCTCTGTGTGTGTGCGTGTTTGCTCACACCTGTTTGCGTGTGTGTGCTCACACCTGTGTGTGTGTGTGTGTGTGCTCACACCTGTGTGTGTGTGCTCACACCTGTGTGTGTGTGTTCACTTGTGTGCTCACCTGTGTGTGTGTGTGTGTGTTCATCTGTGTGCTTATCTGTGTGTGTGCTCACACCTGTGTGTGTGCTCACACCTCTGTGTGTGTGTGTGTGCTTACGCCTGTCCTTGCACACCTGTGTGTGCTCACCTGTGTGTGTGTGTGTGTGCTCACACCTGTTTGCGTGTGTGTGCTCACACCTGTGTGTGTGCTCACACATGTCCTTGCACACCTGTGTGTGCTCACCTGTGTGTGTGTTCACCTGTGTGCTCACCTGTGTGTGTGTGTGCTCACACCTGTGTGTGTGTGTGCTCACACATGTCCTTGCACACCTGTGTGTGCTCACCTGTGTGTGTGTGTTCACCTGTGTGCTCACTTGTGTGTTGTGTGCTCACACCTGTGTGTGTGTGTGTGTGTGCTCACACATGTCCTTGCACACCTGTGTGTGCTAACTCCTGTGTGTGCTCACCTGTGTGTGTGTGTGCTCACACCTGTTTGTGTGTGTTCACTTGTGTGCTCACATGTGTGTGTGTGTGTGTTCATCTGTGTGCTTATCTGTGTGTGTGCTCACACCTGTGTGTGTGTGCTCACACCTGTGTGTGTGTTCACTTGTGTGCTCACATGTGTGTGTGTGTGTGTGTTCATCTGTGTGCTTATCTGTGTGTGTGCTCACACCTGTGTGTGTGCACTCACCTGTGTGTGTGTGTGTGTGTGCTCTCACCTGTCCTTGCACACCTGTGTGTGCTCACCTGTGTGTGCTCTCACCTGTCCTTGCACACCTGTGTGTGCTCTCACACCTAAGCACGCTCCCCCGTGTGCCCCCGCATGGTTTTGCACACCTGTCTGCCCTGTGACCCCCTAAATCAAAGCTCCCCAATCCCAGGATCCCCAAAACTGAGGGATTCCCCCAAAATCGAGGGAATCCCCCCAAAATCCGAGGGAATCCCCCAAAATCGAGGGAATCCCCCCAAAATCGAGGGAATCCCCCAAAATCCGAGGGAATCCCCCCAAAATCGAGGGAATTCCTCCCAAATCCGAGGGATTCCCCAGAATCCACCGCCCCCCCCAGGAGCGGCTGTCGCGCGCTCAGCGGCGCCGGCGGCGGCGGCGACAGCGGCGACAGCGAGAGCTGCTGGCAGAGAGACTGCGGGAGCTGGAGCGGCTGCGCGACAGCGACACCGGTCAGTGCCGGGGGGACAGTGGGGACACCGGGAGGGGACAGCGACACCGGTCAGTGCCGGGGGGTGGACATTGGGGACAGTTGGGGACACCGGGAGGGGACAGCGACACCGGTCAGTGCCGGGAGGGGGACACTGGGGACAGCGACACCGGTCAGCGCGGGACATTGGGGGAGGGGGACATTGGGGACAGCTGGGGACGCCGGTCAGTGCGGGACATTGGGGACACCAGGGACACCGGTCAGGGCTCTGGGGGGGCACAGAGAGGGGACAGCAACACAGGTCAGTGCCCGGGGGGGACAGTGGGGACAGCGACACCGGTCAGGGCTATGGGGGGGGACAGTGGGGACACCGGGGGGACACTGGGGACAGAGACACCGGTCAGTGCCTGGGAGGGGGGACACAGAGGGGACAGCGACACCGGTCATGGCTTTGGTGGGGGGGCACCGGGGGATCGAGGGGGGCTGGGGACCCCAAAAATGGGGTGAATTTTTGGGGGGTGGGGTCTCAATGTCTCTCTCCTCCTCCAGAGACCCCCCCGGAGCCCCCGGAGGAGTTTGGGGGGAGCCCCCCGAGCGGGGCCTCGTCCTCGGGGGTGCACACGCTGCCCGCGGGGGGGGGCTCCAGCGATGGATTCTCGGGGGGCTCCCCGGGACCCCCCCGGCGCCCCCCCAGCCCCAGCTCGGCCTCGGACTCGCTCTTCACCCCCACCTCGGGCTCGCTCATCTCGGGGGGCTCCGAGGGGCTCCCCAAAACCGCGGGTCAGTGGGGGGGGGGGGGGGGCTGGGGTGGATTTGGGAGGAATTTGGGGTCTGGAGGAGCAGTTTGGGGTGGTTTGGGGGATATTTGGGGTTGGGAGGGATCTAGAGGGGCAATTTGGGGTCTTGAGCAGTTTGAGGGGTTTGGGGTGGGTCTGGGGGGAATTTGGGGTTGGGGGATGTTCTAGAGGGGGAATTTTGGGTGGATTTTGGGGATAGTTGGGGTTGGGAGGGGTCTAGAGGAGGAATTTGGGGTTTTGAGCAATTTGGGGAGGTTTGGGGTGGATTAGGGGGGAATTTGGGGTCTGGAGGGGCAATTTGGGGGGGCTTTGGGGTGGGTTTGGGGGCATTTGGGGAGAATTGGGGGTTGGGGGGTCTAGAGGGGGAATTTGGGGTGGATTTGGGGAATTTGGGGTTGGGGGAGGGACTAGAGGGGCAATTTGGGGTCCTGAGCATTTTTGGGGGGTGGGGTTGGGGTAGGTTTGGAGTTGGGGGAGGTCTAGAGGGGGAATTTGGGGTAGATTTGGGAGATATTGGGGTTGGGAGGTCTGGGGGGGCAATTCGGGGGACATTTGGGGTTTGAGGGGATCTAGAGGGGGAATTTGGGGTCTTGAGGGGCATTTTGGGGGGTTTGGGGTGAGTTTGGGGCATTTAGGGTTGGGGGATCAAGAGCGGCCGTTTGGAATTGGGGTGGGAATTTGGGGTGGGGTCCCTGGGGGGTCACTGGGGGTCCCAGGTGTGCCCCCAACGCCCCCGGGGTCCCCTCCAGGTGAGGGGGGCTGCCGGGGGGGCAGGAGAACCCCCTGGACCCCCGAGCTGCCCCCAGGCTGAGGATCAAGATCGCCGACCTGGGCAACGGCTGCTGGGTGGTGAGACTGGGAAACTGGGGGGGACTGGGGGGACTGGGAGGGGACTGGGGGGGACTGGGAGGGGGTTGGAAGGAACTGGGGGGGACTGAGAACAAACTGGGAGGGACTGGGGGGGACTGGGAGGGAACTGAGGGGACTGCGGGGGACTGGGAACAAACTGGGAGAGAGTGGGGGAACTGGAAGGACTGGGAGGAACTGGGGGGGAATGGGATGGAGTGGGGGGACTGGGGGGAGTGGGAGGGACTGGGATGGACTGGGGGGGAATGGGAGGGACTGGGGGAACTGGGGAGAGACTGGGGGGACTAGGGAGAGTGGGATGCACTGGGATGCACTGGGAGGGATTGGGGGGGAATGGGAGGGACTGGGGGGAGTGGGATGGACTGGGAGGGATTGAGGGGGACTGGGGGGGACTGGGGGGGTCACTGGGAACAAACTGGGAGGGACTGGCGGTGTCACTGGGGGGGAGGTTTTGGGGGTGTTCATTTAGGTTTGGGGAAGTTGTGTAGGTGTAGGGAGGTTCGGGGGGATGTGGGGGTGTTTGTGTGGGTTCTGGGGCCGTTTTGGGTCTGGGGGTGTTTGTGCAGGTTCGGGGCGGGGTTGGAGGTGTTTGTGTGGGTTTTGGGGGTGTTTTGGGTCAGGGGTTGTTTTGGGCTGGGGGTGTTTGTGTGGATTTTGGGGCTGTTTTGGGGCTGTTTTGGGGCTGTTTTGGCTCCGGGGGTGACCCCCGTGCCCCCCCAGCACAAACACTTCACCGAGGACATCCAGACCCGTCAGTACCGGGCCCTGGAGGTGCTGCTGGGGGCGGGGTACGGCCCCCCCGCCGACATCTGGAGCACGGCCTGCATGGTCAGGGGGGCCCTGGGGCGGGGAGGGGGCTGCAAGGGACCCCCGGGGTGAGGGGGGTCCTCAGGTGGGGGGGGGGCTCTGATGGACCCCAGCATGGGGCTTCTAAGGGACCTCAGGGTGGGGAGGGGGCTCTGACAGACCCCCGGGTGGGGAGGGGGCTGTGGGGACCCCCGGGAATGGGGAGGAGGCTGGGGTGGGGAGGGGGCTCTGATGGAGCTCAGGGTGGGGAGGGGGTTCCCATGGCCCCCATGGAGGGGAGGGGGCTCTGACGGCCTCCATGGTGGGGAGGGGGTTCCCATGGTGGGGAGGGGGCTGCTGTGGTCCTCATGGAGGGGAGGGGGCTCTGATGGTCCTCATGGTGAGGAGGGGGCTGCCATGGCCCCCCAGGACCCCCCTCATTTTCCCCCATTTCCCCCACAGGCGTTCGAGCTGGCCACGGGCGATTACCTGTTCGAGCCGCACTCGGGGGAGGAGTACAGCCGGGATGAGGGTGGGCGTGGCCTCGGGGTGGGCGTGGCCTGGGGTGGGCGTGGCCTCAGGGCAGGGTGTGGCACTGAAAATGGGTGTGGCCTCAGGGATGGGTGTGGTGGCTTCATATGTGGGCGTGGTCTCAGAGATGGGTGCGGTCTCTGGGATGGGTGTGGCCATCGGGGTGGGCGGGACATGGTAAATGTGGGCGGGGCTGCCCCAATAAGGATATAAAGGAGGTGTGGTATCTGGTAGCCAATCAGGAGCCAAGGGGGTGTGGCCTGCCCCAAGGGCGTGGCCATTGTAGATTGGGTTTCAAACAAATGATGTGACTCATAGGTGGGTGGAGCCACCATGGTGTGGCAGCCAATGGACTGGGGGGATTGCCCAAGTGGGCGTGGCCAAGTGAACACGCCCATGTGGGGGTGGGGCAAGAAGGGATTGAACCAGGGGGGTGGGCGTGGCTAAATTATTGATCCTGGAAGTGGGCGTGGCTAAAGGAGTGGGCGTGGCTAAAAGGGGCGTGTCCACCGTTCCCCGCAGACCACATCGCGCACGTGATCGAGCTGCTGGGGGAGATCCCGCGGCACGTGGCCCTGGGCGGGCGCTACTCACGAGAGTTCTTCAACAGGAGAGGTGAGGGCGGGGCCAGGGGGCGTGGCCAGGGGTCGGTGTGGCCGGGTGGGGTGCTGGGGGTGGGGTTAAGAGCTGGGTGTGGCCATAAAGCTTTGGTGGGGGTGGGACCACAAATGTGGGGTTATGCAAATGAGGGGGTGGAGGTGGTGTTATACCTATAGGGGCATGGTCATGGGAAAGGGGGTGGGATTTCAGCTCAGCAGGGTTGAAAGGGGAGGGGCCACTTTATGACTGGGGCGTGTCCTGACCACACCCATTATAGGGGGCGGGGCCACCTCAGCATTGGGATTTCCTGACCACACCCATAATAAGGGGTGGGACCACCATTTTTGGGTGTGTCCTGACCACACCCCTCATCAGGGGCAGGCCCACCTCAGGACTGGGGCATGTCCTGACCACACCTACCATAATGGGCGGGGCCACAGTTTTGGGACACCTCCTGACCACACCCATCATAAGGGGCATGGCCAGCACCCTCCCTGCCCCTCCCCCTGCTGTGTGTGCATGCATTACTCATGGGTGGGCGTGTCCCCCGCCCCTGACCCCGCCCCTTTGCAGGTGAGCTGCGGCACATCCGGCACCTGCGGCCGTGGGGGCTGCGGGCGGTGCTGCAGGAGAAGTACGAGTGGCCGCGGGGGCCGGCGGCCGCCTTCGCGCGCTTCCTGCGGCCCATGCTGGCCTTCGAGCCCGCCCGCCGCGCCACGGCCCGCCAGTGCCTGCAGCACCCCTGGCTCCGCCCCTAGCCCCGCCCCCCGCAGCAATAAACCACGGGCGTGTTCATTGGGGGGCTTCCATGGCAGTGCCTGCAGCACCCCTGGCTCCGCCCATAGCTCCGCCCCCCGCAGCAATAAACCACGGGCGTGTTCATTGGGGGGTTCCATCATGGCCCGCCAGTGCCTGCAGCACCCCTGGCTCCGCCCCTAGCCACGCCCACCCCATCAATAAACCACCGGTGTGTGAGGGGGTACTGGGGTGTTTATTGGGGTCTTTTTAGGGGCTTGTGGTGGGTTTGGGGTGTTCCTCGTGGTGCTGTGGGGGGGTTTGGGGTGCTCCTGTTGTTTATTGGCCTTTTTTGGGGGGTTTGGGGTGCTCCTGGTGGTCCTGGGGGAGGTTTGGGGGGGTTCCTGAAATGTTTATTGAGGTCCTGTGGGGGGTTTGGGGGGCTCTTGGGATGTTTATTGGGGGGTCCTGGTGCTCCTCGGGTGTTTATTGGGGGGTCCCATGCCGGCCTTCGAGCCCGCCCGCCACGCCACGGCCCAGCAGCACCCCTGGCTCCACCCCTAGCCCCGCCCACCACATCAATAAACCACGGGCGTGTTCATTGGGGTGTTTATTGGGGGTCCCATGCTGGGGTCACGGCCTGGCAGTGCCTGCAGCACCCCTGGCTCCGCCCCTAGCCCCACCCCCGACCTCAATAAACCACGGGTGGGCACTGGTGGTCCTGGGGTGTTTATTGGGGTCATTTGGGGGGTCCAGGGGTGCTTATGGGGGTCCTGTAGAGGTTTGGGGGGCCCCTTGGTGGTCCTGAGGTGTTTATTGGGGTTTTATGGGGGTTCCTGGTGGTCCGGGGGTGTTCTGTGGAGTCTTTTGTGGGGGTGCTGGTGGTCCTGTGAGGGGTTTGGGGAGCTCTTGGTGGTCCTGGGGTGTGTTTTGTGGTCCTGTGGGGGAATTTGGGGTATTTCTGGTGGTCCTGTGGGGGTTTCTGGGGTGTTTAATGGGGTCCTGTGGGGCATTTGGGGGGTCCAGGGGTGTTTGTTGGGGTCCTGTGAAGGGTTTTTGGGGGTTCCTGGTGGTCCTGGGGTGTTCGCTGGGGTTCTGCGGGGGTATTTGGGGTGCTCCTGGTGGTCCTGTGGGGGGGTCGGGGGAGTTCCTGGGGTGCTTATTGACATCCTGTGGGGGGTTTAGGGGGGATCCTGGTGGTCCTGGGGTGTTTAGTGGGGTCTTACGGGGGGTTCCTGGGGTGTTTATTGGGGTCCTTTGTGGGGCTCCTGGTGGTCCTGAGGTGTTTTGGGGTCCTGTGGGAGGGTTTGAGTTGTTCATTGGGGTCTTTTGGGAAGCTCCTGGTGGTCCTGTGGGGGTCTGGGGGCCTCTTGGTGGTCCTAAGGTTTTTACTGGGGTCCTGTGGTGGGCTCCTGGTGGTCCTGGGGTGTCCATTGGGGTCCCGTGGGGGGTTTGGGGTGCTCCTGGTGGGACCCTGGAGTGTGCTGTGATCCTGGAGGGCTCCAGGGGGGTTTTGAGGGGTCCTGTGGGGGTCCCAGAGATGCATTTGGGGTCCTGGAGGTGTTTTGGGTCTCGTGGGTGTTTTGTGGGGGCTCCTGGGGGTGTCCCAGAGCTGTTTTGGGGTCCCTTGGGGTGCATCGTGGTCCTAAAGGTCCTGGGGGTGCTTTGGGGTCCCAGAGGTGCTTTGGGGTCCTGGGGGGCATTCTGGGGGGTCCTGGGAATGTTTCGGGGTTCTGGAGGTGCTTTTGGGGTCCCAGAGATTTTCCCAGGGGTGCTTTGGGGTCCCGGGGGTGTTTTGGGGGGTCCTGGGGGGGTCCCAGGGGTGCTTTGGGGTCCTGGCGGTGTCAGGTGTGTGATCCTAGAGGTGCTTTGGTGTCCTGGGAATGTTTTGGGGTCCTGGGGATGCTTTTGGAGTCCCAGGGGTCTTCTGGGGGTGTTCCAGTGGTTCTGTGCGGTCCTGGGGGTGTCCTGGGGGGTCCCAGGGGTGTTTTGGGGGGTCCTGGGGGGTCCCAGGGGTGTTTTGTGGTCCTGGAGGTGTTCTGGGGGGTCTTGGGGCCATTTTGGGGGGTCCCAGGGGTATTTTGGGGGTCCTGGGGGTGTTTCAGGGGGGGGCCCTGGGGGTGTCAGGTTTGTGCTCCTGGGGGTCTTCTGGGAGAGGGTCCCAGGGCCATTTGGGGAGGGGGGTCTGGGGCTGTTCCCGGGGGTTCCCGAGGCCGTTCCGGGGGTCCCGGTTCCGTCCCGGCGTCCGTGTGTCCCCCCGTGTCCGTGTGTCCGGCTCAGCCCCGCGGCAGGTGCCCGATGATGCTCTGCACCGCCCCCGACGTCGTGCCCTGGCCCCCGATGTCCGGCGTGTGCGTCTGGGGGCGGGGCCACGTCACGGACACGCCCACGGGGGGCGGGGCCACGACAGTCAGAACGTGCTCATGGCCACGCCCCTTGGGCAGGTGAGGACAGGTGAGGGCGGGGCTTACCCGGGGGTCGTCCAGCGAGGCCAGCACGGCTTTGCGGATGGTGGAGGCGTGGTTGTGCAGCCTGGGGGCGGGGCAAACACAGACCACGCCCACATCAGCGAGCCACACCCAACCACGGTAGTGAAGCCCCACCCCCTCTCTCAGCCCCTCCCATAGGATCCTGACCAGCTAGACCACGCCCTTTTCTAAGCCACTCCCACTGATGAAGCCACACCCCCTTAAAGCCCCACCCCTTTTTTTTGAGACCTCACCCCTTTTAAAGCCTCACCCCCTCTCATCTTCCCACCCCCTCCCAGGTTAGCCACGCCCCCAGGCAGGTGTGCCCCACCCTGTCCCTGCTAAGCCCCACCTCCTGAGCTCCGCCCCCTCCTAGCTGAGGCCCACCCCCTCCCGGGTTAGCCCGCCCCCTCCCGGTTTAGCCCCACCCCCTCTCTGGTGTTCCCACCCCCTCCCAGGTTAGCCCCGCCCCCCGCGTGAAGCCCCGCCCACTTGAGGTGGTCCAGCATCATGCAGGCCGCCAGCAGCGCCGCCGTGGGGTTGGCGATGTTGCGGTTGGCGATGCTCTTGCCCGTGTTCCGCGTGGCCTGGGGGCACCGTGTGAGACCCCCAGTGACCAACCAGTGACCCCAGTGACCCCCAGTGACCCCCAGTGACATCCAGTAACCAACCAGTGACCCCAGTGACCAACCAGTGACCCCAGTGACATCCAGTAACCAACCAGTGACCCCAGTGACCCCAGTGACATCCCAGTGACCCCAGTGACCCCCAGTGACAGCCCAGTGACCCAGTGACATCCCAGTGACCCCAGTGACCAACCAGTGACCCCAGTGACATCCCAGTGACCCCAGTGACCCCAGTGACCAACCAGTGACATCCCAGTGACCCCAGTGACCCCCAGTAACAGCCCAGTGACCCCAGTGACCAACCAGTGACCCCCAGTGACCAACCAGTGACCCCAGTGACAGCCCACTGAGACCCCTCAGGGACCACCCAGTGCTCCCAGTGCCCACCAAAGGACCCCCAGACCCCCCATGTCCCCCCCAGACCCCCATTTTCGCCCCCAGACCCACGGTCTCAAACACGGCGTAGTCGTGGCCGTAGTTGGTACTGGGTGCCCCCACCAGTGCTCCCAGTCCCACCCAGTGCTCCCCAAAGGACCCCCAAACCCCATCATGTCCCCCCCAGACCCACGGTTTCGAACACGGCGTAGTCGGGCCCGTAGTTGGCACCTGGCACCAGCCCCGGTCCCCCCACCAGTGCTCCCAGTCCCATCCAGTGCTCCCAGTTTCTCCCAAAGCCCCCCAGAGCCCCCCGTGTCCCCCCCAGACCCACGGTTTCGAACACGGCGTAGTCGTGGCCGTAGTTGGCACTGGGTGTCCCCATCAGTGCTCCCAGTGACCCCATGGTGTCCATCCCCACATCCCGAACCCTGTCAGACCCCCCCCCCATGTCCCCCCCAGACCCCCACTTTGGCCCCCGGACCCACGGTTTCGAACACGGCGTAGTCGTGGCCGTAGTTGGCACTGGGTGCCCCCACCAGTGCTCCCGGTGCTCCCAGTGCTCCCAGTGCCCCCCATGTCCCCCCCAGACCCCACTTTGGCCCCCAGCCCCCCACTTTGGCCCCCGGACCCACGGTTTCAAACACGGCGTAGTCGTGGCCGTAGTTGGCGCCCGGCACCAGCCCCGGTCCCCCCACCAGCCCGGCGCAGACGTTGTTGACGATGTTCCCGTAGAGGTTCGGCATCACCATCACATCGAACTGCTGCGGCCGCGACACCAGCTGGGCAGGGGGGCACGCCGCGTTACTGGGAGCACTGGGAGGGGTTTTTGGGGTTTTTTTGGGGGGTTTTTAGGGGGTTTTTGGGGGTCACACCTGCATGGTGGTGTTGTCCACGATCATGCTGCGGAAGGTGATCTCGGGGTACTCGGCCGCCACTTCCTCGCAGCACTGCAGGAACAGCCCGTCCCCCCAACTTCCTGTGGGGACACCAGGGGTGAGACCCCCAAAAAATACAGCCTAACCCCCCCCCAAAAGCTACAGCATAACCCCCCCAAAAAAGTCCGGGATACCCCTCAAAAATCTGGGATCCCACTGAGCACTGCAGGAACAGCCCGTCCCCCAATTTCCTGTGGGGACAACGGGGGGGGTGAGACCCCCAAAAAATCCCAGATATCTGTGGGATACCCCCAGAGCCAACCCAGCACTGCAGGAACAGCCCGTCCCCCAATTTCCTGGGGTGATGGGCGGGTTGAGACCCCAAAAAATCCAGGGTACCCCCCAAAAAAATCTGGGATGTGCCTGGGATCCCACTCAGCACTGCAGGAACAGCCCGTCCCCCCAATTTCCTGTGGGGTGGGGGGGGGGGGGGGGGGGAGACCCCCCAAAAAATACAGGGATATCCTCCCAAAACATCTGGGATCCCCCCCAAAACTCACGAAGGACACCTTCCAGAACCCCAACCCTACTTTGGAACCCCCCAAACCTTCCCCTCAGGACCCCCACCAAACCCCGTCTGGACCCACCAAAACCCACCGAAAACATTGTCCAGATC